TCTCAGTTGTTTTACACCACTTTATAAAAAAGCTCTTTGCTCCACTTTACACCATTCGCTTTATTGTCCAATTAATCATGTATACCCGGTGTGTTCAGTCAATATAAGTTTTCAAAATGGACTGAAAACACGAACTTAGTAAAATTCTCAGGGAACGGGGTCTTACTTCCTAAACTTAAGTTAATTATATTTATATATAAATTTTATTAAGTGAGATAAGATAGCACTTAGGTGAGGAAGTGTGTCTGACCTACCAGAAGGCGAGATAACTTGGACTCGTACAAGGCCTCGATGGTTATAACGCACAGAGAGGAAAATTTGAATGTGTTCTACATAATTCACCGGTTCACCCTCTTCATTAATTGCGTCCCGACTAGTACTACCATTCGAAGGCTGACAGCCAGTGAAGTTGAAGGCATACGTCTCCGAAAATCGAACTGAAAGATTCCTTTAAGAAAAAAACGATAATTTATAAGGTCGATCACTGAACCGCGAATGCATACATTCATTTCCATTTATTTTTAAATATCCTATCTAGCAGTGACAAAAAAACGTTTTTTGAAATACGAAGATACCTGAGCCAGCACTATTCGATTGTCATTCAAATTGAGATATCTCAAGAGCGACATCAATCAATCAAACACTTCCGGTGGGAACTGCTGTGTCCCCAAAAGATAGCAAAAAATGGTATCAACACAAAAGCCTCACTTACTGCAGCTAAGTAATGAGCGAGATCAAGATCTTGCTTTCTGAAGGGCAAATTCAATGTTTGGAATGTCTTTGCTCAATATTCATTTTGGTACCGATTAAACCCAGATACCCCCACACAACCACCACCCCAAACTAGCCCAAAAACAGATAATTGATGTTAAATATGGCACCGTTTAGTCTGCTGAAAACTGCCCATATATTAAATATAGAATTATTAACACTATTATTAGTAAATGGATGCTAAGGCAAAAGGCGTTCTTATTTTAGTCCATATCTTTAATCACTTATCGATTCTACTCAATTTACTACCCTCTTCGCACCAATCATGTATATGACTAATTCCCTGGCTTTTTCAAGCTTCACTCTGCCTTCCAGCCATCTTATCTCCACGCATCATTTCTACTCCAGACAAAATATTTTGTCGTCTGGTTGTATTCAGGTTTTTTCAGGTCTTCTAGTAATATCTTCAAGGCAGTCTCCTTCCTGAAACTAATAAAAATGTTAATTAAGTAGTAATGCTTTGACTTTATTGCTCTGTAAAGCACATTTCACCTTTAATAATAATAAGTAAGTAATTAACACCACATACTAATTATCGCGTTATTTCTGTCATTTCCTACTCAACAACCTACATGGAATTGTTTACTGTCTAATGCAAAAGCCGCTATTTCTCATATACAATCGCCCCAAGGTAATTGAGTGTTAATTAGCATGCGTTGAGTAGAGAGGTTACTTTTGAGACAATGTAAAGATGTAGAATAATAAATTACCTGGATATCTGCTTCACAGTAGTAGCGCATCTATGATGTGGCGGAAGAGTTCTCCAGAGTTCACTCAACCTCACCGACTTTCCAGCATCCATCAGACCGAATCCGTAAAAATTACTGTCTGAAATGGACAAATATTAATCAGAGGTTTAACCACCTCATAAAGATATTTAGGTGGAAAGATTTATCTCAATAGGTTGCATTAAAGAGTTCAATAATCATTGGGGTTGCTTATTAAGTTCCAGTATTCATCCCAATGTAAAATTTCCACCACTTGAGTAATCAAAACTAATATGAAAGCTTGCACTTACTAACCATGTCTGACCTAACTCAATTAAAATAATAATCTAATTTTGGATAAAGACGGTGTCATTGATAAAAAATCGACTATCTAAAATTCTATAGCCTAAAACCTGAATTTCCGATTAAAAAGCTTTCAAAAGAAACTGTACAGTAGAAATCCGTCAACAGCGAATAAATTTTTTTAGAAAAGAAGAAAAAGAAGCCAAGAGAAACCCTTTTCCTCGGATGCAACTATCAACCGTCCTCCATTATCTTTTTTTAGGTCTTAGCATACGACTCATAACCGCGTAATTAGACAGGGTATTTATAAAATCAACATTATTTGCTCTTCCGAGATGGGAATAAAAGAAGCAAAAGTCACGAATCATAAGAACGAACCCTCGCCCCCTCGTCCCTCCCCTACGTTTCTCCTAAGCCCCTTTCTTTCAATCATGACAATTGAGTGGAATGACTTGGATAATAACGGAAATTAGTCCACCGGTTAAATATTGGATATAATACTACAAGAATCAGAACGGCAAATAGGGAAAGCTGAAAATTGCAACGTCGCCTCACTTTTTGGAAATGTGGACGGCTCAGCGCTCTCGATTCAAAGACAAGTGGGAATTATGATATCACTGCATTAGTATCCACTTACTATTGACCTTCTACCTGGTTCCAAGAATTGCAGGACTAGTTTTTCCGTTCTCGTATTCAAATACTTTACTTCATGCTATGTTAAAGGCAACTACAACAGTAATATTCATGACAAAGCGGAAATTTGTTAAAGCATGGGAATGACGGATACACCCCTCCCACCCCCTCCTCCCTTCCCCCTCCTCAGAGACACACTAGTCTAGCATGGAATGAATCATAATGAGGCAAAGTTGATTAACGGAGGTAAGCGAATTGGGTGGAAATCAAACGGACAGCCGGAATGGAATTCAGACAGAGTTGGTTGGCGATTCCTGTTACCCTCAGACTGTAATATGATGTAAGGGAGGTAGGGAAAGGGATGAGGAAAGAGAAAGCCCACTCCAGTGTTTCGGCTAAGATGATGACATTCCACAGAAATTTAATACGCTAAAGTGTGTCTTAACTGGGACTGAAATTGGCAGAAATTGGAGAATTTTAAGCCTATATTCAAAATTTCACAGTAACTAAAATGCGACCAAAAAGAGTAAATTATTTCAATTTTAAAGACAATATCTACAAAAGCGAGTCATGTAGAGGACAGAGTTGAGCCCCTTCTATCGCCTTAGCCAGAGTATGGAATTTGAGAAAAAAATAGAATTGAAGTGAATGATTGGTTGTGCCTTTCTAGAACAAGCTCATTACAACTACTTAAATGCAGGCTCAGAACTTGAACACGAGAGATATACAAATAACAGTGGGAAAGTGTAACTGAACGTTTAGGAGGAGTAGAAGGAAATTATGAGGCCCACAGTTTAGTAATATGTGATTAATAGCCGATCTCAGATGCCACTTATACCCTATTGATATGCATGATAATCTGGAAACAAAGAAACATTGTCATCGAAAATGGTAGAGCTAAAACTTACGACTTCTTTTCTAACTATTGAGCATTGTGAGACATTTTTAAGCCCTATTTATTACTGAATCTAGCGCCGAATGTACGCTCAAACGGATCTATAAGTTCATATCTATAAGTGCTAATACCCAGGGATTTGGAGAGTTATGGATACTTCCCACACACAAAAATTGCATACCATTATGCTTAATGAGATTTGTGGGAAGGAAACCTGACTGACGAGCTAGCAACTGCCTCGTTAGTGCAAACGACGGAAGAATTACACACGTCTACCCACGGGAGAAATTCCACCAGAAGTATAAAAGGATCTCTTTTTATTAAAGATCTCCATTTCATTGGCCTTTTGAATCTTTTCACGCCAGAAGGCATAGAACTTTCAACATCTACACAGAATTAATCTCTTAATGTCCTATAGGATCGGGGGCGGGGGAGGGGGAGGGGGAGGGGGGAGATTGTCATGGTAGGTCCATCTTGTCGAGTACCTGCACTTAGTGCTAGTTTATGGCATTGCTCCAGATCATTGAGCAGTACCTTTGAGTAGATGAAGTCTTCTTCGAAAAAAAGACAAAAACTTTGTCAGATATTCGCTATCTGAAAAGTTGGTACTTGAACCACGTAGCCATTTCAAAATAGTTTAACCAAATTCTCCAGATTCTCCACCCATACAATTACGCTATAAATAAAAGTGAAAAAAAAGTGAAATAGGTGACTGTAAATCACGCTGACCGGAGGTAGCACGAAGATCTGTGAGAGAAAGTGGGAATTGAAAGTTACATCATGTTTTCATGCAGTTTTCACTTAAAGATGCTCAATAATAGGGCGACTGCAACCAATGTGTATGAATAAAAACGAGCCAAAGGGCTTGATAGCTTTTTTCCCATATAATGAGTAGAGTGAACTCGGGCACAAAAGCGAATGCAAATGGTGAAAGAAGGTGGACATCCATAGTGCACTGATGCTTGTGGTAATTGCCATAATAACCAAAAGGGGACATTAAAGTGAATAAAATAAAAAATAAAAATAACCCAGCTAAATGGTGTAACGTAATTTGTAAAATAAAGGCCTTCCCACCCCCCCCCCCCCCACCGGGNTCCCCCCCCCCCCCCCCAAATGGTGTAGCCAATATTTTTTAGATAATAAGTAGTGGGGCATAATAAATTTTGGCTAATTTAATCAAAATCTACCGAATTCAATCATTTAAGAGAAGATACGGCCGGAATGGAGTGGATTTTACAACAAAAGAGAATATCAGGACCTAGGTAAAGGGGAGGCTTCTTTAAACTCCTCCTGTGGTTTCACATTATAGCACCTCTAATTTTGATCAGAATTATTCAGTGTAATTCGTCATCTACATCGCTGGATGTGCATTGATCCCATAGTCTCACACTTAGCAAACCTGCAGGTTGACACTAGGCTGCTTAGCTACCATTCTCTCAATAAAATAAAGATTATTATTATTATTATTGCCATCAAAGTCAACGGAGATAAGTGTTTATCAACATAGACAGCAAATTAGAATCAAGGGGTCTCGGAGGAAATATGAATATAGTTAGTTTGCTCTAAACCAGTATTAAACAGTACCGTTCACTTGATGCAACTATGCATACAAGCATACCAGCCAGGCTCATTTTTAATACAAAATAGATTCTTGCTCGACTACTGTCCTCTTTCTCACTTTCTGTCAAAATTTACAAAATTTTAAGCTCGAATTTAGGGAAGAAAAACTCACATAGATAACCCGCTCCATTCTTTGAGAAATTACCATCTCTGAAGGGCTTTGGATTGGCTGTGAGCATCGTTATATATTGCACATCTCTCCAGGTGAGTTTGGGACTAAACAGATAGAGAGAGAGAGAGTGAGTGAAATAATTTGATTAGTAGACTTGAGTTGATTAAATTAACATTAAGGCAGCTAACCACCCTGCATTTATGGGAGTGGCTCCAACATTCTACTTTTTAACGCCTTCGCAGTGCCAGATTCACTATCAAATAAAACTGAAATATTTTGAAGCGGGTTATTGTTCGTGAAAATTCTTATTCAATGCAAGAATTTTGTCAATTCTTCTTCTAACTTAACTTAACGTAGCCTAATTAAACCTGACCATGGATGGTCTAAGAAGAAGGACCGAAATTTTACCTCTTTTCTTTCACTTTCCTTCATAAAGACAAAATATCCAAATGACTGCCTTCGATGCATACGTAAATTAACCATTCTCATCGGATCAGACAGATAAAAAAATAAGCCAAATTAATAATTGGCAAAAGTCTGAATTAACTGGGAATTTTAAATGGAAGTTAACCAATCAAAAGTATACGTTATGATTCCAGACAAAACTTCCTGAGAAGGCAAACGCTTGCAGCAAAAGAAGAGTAAATTCAAATAATTAAATTAGTGTGCATTTAAATGCAAGAAAACAAAAGATTAAGTCAACTTAATTTTTATTTCAGTATTAACAGACAGTTTCTGGCTACGTCTACCTAATTTCATTGTTTCTCTCCACATATAGGTGTTTCACTCTATTGAAATTACATTTTCCGTGTTTATCTTACGAACAAACAGTGAAAAGAAGCCAAATAGTAGTAATTATTGCCTAATAATCAAAGAAATCGGGAAATTTGTGTTATTTTGGAAGCTATTCATCACCTCTTCCAGGCCATTTATAACTAGGAGTAAAGCTTGTTTGAACAGGCTAAGCGAAAAAAGCTGAATCAAGAAATCATCAGAAATCTCACCCCCCCCCCTCCCCTCCCGCCCCACCGGCTGCATACTGATGTGACATAAAAACTGCAGAATGAATCCAATCGATCAACAAGCTCTAAATAATGTTGACGTCAACTTATCCATGAGAATGAAAGTTTAATCATGAACTTTTCTCACCATCATGTTTCATACAAGAATAGAAACACTTTAACGCTTACAGGATTCCACCTAGGTCAGACTCCTGATTCTAGAGCTTCATTGTCCACATTTCTAAGAATATTCGCGCTTTTCCACTTTATTCTCTTCGTTCTATTCCCGTTATCTGTTGTTCCCAATTTGTATGCCTTACATTTCGAAAACTTCTAACCGTTTTTACTTACACTAGCATTAGCCTAGTAAACTCCAGAAATATGAATGGAATTTTTCCGCATACACCCGTTGTGAAGCTCCTATGAAGAATTGGACAATTAGATTCAATTTGATTTTAAAAATTTTCCATTTTCCCAGGCTTTATTTGTACGCATTTAAGTGAATTTGTGACTACAACGATCAACCTCATTTAGAGACCTCCTGTCATATTTAGTGGTAATACCGCCTCCATTTGATGGCAGATAGTTTAATTTTTGTAATTTTATAAAAAGCGCCACATTTGATTTTTATGTCGCCTTGAAAGTCTACCAGTAATTAATATTGCTAATACAAAAAATGCGCATTCAAAATTTATAAAAGATGAAATAGGGAAAACACTGAGAATTCAAGGTACCATATCTACAGAAAAGTAAAAGTAAAAAAAACATTTTATAATAATACTGTGAATAATAATGACCCATAGTGGTAGGGATTAAGCTCATTAAAATATGAAAAAGCTTTTTTATAAAACTGAAATTATAATGATGATAATTAACTTAATTGCCTTCATTTATGATATGTTTTTCACAAAAATTTTATGTACAATCAACAATAATTTCAATCTCCTTTATAATATCGAATGGAAGCTCCTACAAATGCTCTATTTTAAAGCGTTCGAACTTCCCACTGCGCAACTTTTTTTCCTTCAAAGATGAAAACCGAGAGAATTGGTCAACTTGTTTATTGAAAGAGCGCGAAGTTTTGAAACCTTGATCTACGATTAGATAAACCATTTAATACCCAATTAAAGGAGAATGATTAGGTGATATTTTAACTGAATTCGTTAATGATACAGGGTGAAAAGATTAAATGGAGAAGGAAAATTTGCATGCTCAATTATCTACCGGGTTAAATCGACACAACAACAGTCATCTAAATTAAGGCTATTTCTGTTTTAATCGATGTCATAATAAAGAAGGATTATTTTCTCCACATAGTTGAAAAACGAAATCGCATGCAAGATTTAAATGAACTTAAAATTGGAATGGAAATATTGATAAACAACGCAGTTACAGATAGAATATTCAGCTAAAATCAATATTTTCAAGAGGGAAACGAATACTAATAATCTTTGCGAGGGGTGTGCGATAGACTTACCTCCACGTGGTGCACTCTAGGCAGCGTATACTCATACGGCGAAAAAAGTTCATAAGCCGGCAGTTGACTACTGACTTCAAACTACCATCACCCTACTGCATGTCATATTCGACTACTTTCACCGTACTCACTTCACATTTTTATACCTTTGTGTCTGTCTCTTTTACATCTTTGAAACACTCTTCTGTTCCTCCCCCCTCTCGAATTTTTCCCACTTTGATGTTCCTTCCCCAATGTGAAGCCTGAAGTCAACTAAAGGGCTAATGATAACTATCAAAACGCCTGCCATTTGGCATAAATAAATAATCTTTGCGAAACTAATCACGAGGCATCGTCATCAATATCTGGAATTAAATAGAGAGCCCTACCATGATATGCTTTCTCTTGGATCAAAGGAGAGCCCTTTAAGATGATCGTTAAGATAGGGAAGAAAGAGATAAACTCCCGAAATGTGGGTGTTGGTATTTTAGGTAAGGATGAAAATAAATATTTTTACTGATTAAATGAGGAAATAACCCTGTTATAAGTACTTATATATATATATATATATATATATATATATATATATATATATATATATATATATATATATACATGCATATATTCTCTTCATTATCGACTGTCGAATGCTTATACGCATTTTACGCTATGGTATTTTGGAGTAAAATTTTACTTTGGTGCGACTACCATGCATACTGCTAAAACAATTATGAGGACGTAGGGCACACTGCAAGTACTAGGACTACTAATTGTTAACAAAATACAACATACTTAGCCTCAAGCATAAGAGCGATTATTCCCACAGCCAATGGCGCACTAGCCGATGTGCCAGTGTGCTGACTTGTGCATCCATGGTTCAGATCTGTGGTCACCTAAAAGATTCAAGCAAATGTCAAATACACGTGCAACATCATAATTGATTATACATCGACCGAAAAACAAAGCCGAAACTAACAATTCCCGACTCGCTGCTGTAGGTAGATACAAGAACGGCAGCACACTTCTCCAGGTACCAGGGTTTCTTATTATCTTCGGTAACACTGCTCACAGCCAAAGTATATATACTACTGACGTAGCCATCAGCGGCACAGGAATCGCCTCGCCGACCACCATTGCCAGACGCCCAGACAAATATGTTTCCCAGGCCATTGCGTCCCTTAAGTAACAAGCACATATAGTAAAAGATATCATTTTATGTTTCGCGGTTGATAAACTGGGTAAATATAGAATGGAATGAATCTCGTATTTATAAGCCCTCCACTTTGAATAGAGGGATTGTTTAAAGTCGTAAATTTGCTTTCGAAAAGGTGCAAGACGTTAAAGGGGGCATAAAGGGTGCTATCGGTAATCTTTGATGATGGGCGCAGGCTAAAGGAGATCGAAATGCCGTAAATATGAATGACTTGGTTTAGGATGCAATTTAAATCAGGTCTTAAGCGCAAAGTCAAACATAAATATGGAATCTTTCGGTGCAACGCCCTAGTAGTTATCAAATTGATAAGCAGCAGGTATACGAATTGGACCTGTTTCAATGAATGCTCGGAGTAATTGCCAGCTTTGAAGGACCTTAGTAAAGATGCGTAAAATCAGTGTAATTAATTTATTTCTGTTAAGATTAGATACCACGATTGCACCTTAATAGTTACTAATATCACATGTGGTAATGTGAAGGAATTACATTCTTTTTGCTGGAGAAAGCAAATTAAAGTAGCTAACATAAGTTGAACAATTGTTGGAGGAGAGGAGATCAAAAAGTTTTAGAAGCAACTTCTAGGTTCCAAACATTCCTACGCGTCGCACAAAATTTATAAGATGGGTATGCCAAGTTCCAAAAATAAAATCTCATGATTCAACTTCCCTTGGAATGCTGCGAATGTTTCTCCGAGATATTCAGTGATTATGGACCAGTTTTTCATAAAACATGAAGAACCAGTCTTGCCAATTTAACTCCCCCCCCCCCCTCTTCACCCATTGGTTGAGACATCAATGGACGTTGACCTTCGATAGCACGAGAGAATCCTTGTCAAGTTACTCCATTTCTATTAACGGCCAAGTCAAAATTCGTGGGTTTGACATTCATTTTGAGTGGTACCAAATGAAAGAGTTATGAGAGGGGGGGGGGAGAAA